AAACGAAAAACTTTGTATATAAGTAAAAGAAAACGTCAACAACAAAAAAATGGCTTTTAAATGTGTCGAACAACAACTTTTAAAGGATTTCTTTGTGGTATAAAGTATACAATCCAAAGTTTATCAAAAAATGGAGTAAACAAGTTTAAATCATATTCACAACTTGAAGAATGCTGAAGATACCTTAATACTTTAATAAAAAGCAACAAAGTTAATGTACTTCAGGAACATTTTGATGCAATGTCCTGTTATCATTGGAAAAAAAAAGTATAATCCTGAAATAATTATTTGTGCTTTTGAGTATTATTCTTTATCTAGATCGCTATATGACAGACTGAGACAAGACTACCAACTTCCAAGTATTTCACTTCTTCAAAAAATTACATCAAAAATAAATTCTTCTTTTGACGATTTCGAATACGTCAGTGAGATTTTTAAAAAGGCAAAAAACAGTTATGAAAAAAAAAGTATTTTATTAATAGAAAAAACGTAAAACCTTCTCTTATATATTGCTCTGGGTCTTTATTAGTAAAACCTGTAAACAAACCTGATTCATTAGCAGTTTTAAGTATTATTATGGTTTCAATTTGTGGTGGTCCAAAATATTTATGTCGTATGTTGCCAGTATTCGAACTTAATGCTGATTTTTTATTTGAGCAAGCAAATCATTTGATTGATTGCATTCATAAATCTGATGGAGAGTTAATCGCTATCATTTGTGATAACAATCGTATCAATCAGTCTTTTTACTTCAAGTGTACATTTAGGGAGCCATGGAGAACAGAAAGTAATATATTTTTACTTCATAACTTTGTCCATTTAATAAAGTCAGTGCGAAACAACTGGCTAACTGAGAAAACACAAATACTAAAGTTTGAAGATGATGGTGAATTGAAATCAGCTTTGTGGTCTGATTTAAAACATTTACATGAAACTGAAAAACGAAGTTTAATTAAACTTTCAAAACTTAACGATGTAGCGGTAGCACCAAAACCTATTGAAAGATAAAAAGTATCTACTTGTCTCCGCATATTTTGTGAAGAAACATTAACTGCGCTCAAGACATGTTCTAACATAGGTAAATCAGATGGTACCATACGATTTATTGAAATTTATTAAAGTTTTGGAAAATTGTAAATGTTAAAAGATCATACGACTTACATTTTCGCGATAATGATAGAGCTTTTATATCTTCATAAAATGATGAAAGAATAATTTTTTTGAGCAAAATTGCTTGAATAGCGCAGAAAATGATCAGTAGTCAAGGACAAAGACAGTGTCAGCTCACACGTAATACAGGGACAGCACTTTGGCATACATGTTCAGGAATGATTGCTCTTGTCAAGTACCTTATCAACTCTGGGTTTCGATACGTAGTGCTTGGTAAATTTACAACAGACCCTTTAGAAAAAATGTTTGGTAAGCTTCGACAAGGGTCTGGTGGGACTTATTTTATAAACACACAGCAAATTTTAGAAAAAGTCAGAATATTTAAAACCAAATTAATTTTGCAAGTGGGTATAAATACAGATGAAGTTGGAAAAAATAAAGCAGTTCATGATTGTGAAAAGTGTAAGTATTTATTAGATGGTGATTCATCAAATATTTTTCATAAATTACCTGAACTAGAAGAAAAGCTGGATATAAATGTTAAAAAAGCCCTAGTTTACATATCTGGATATGTTACAAAAGCTGAAACAGGCAAAGGAACAAAATTTTATTATATAAAATATGAGGACTATGTTAAAGAGATTAATCGTGGAGGTCTCAACATACCGTTCAAAAATGCCATGTTTTGTTATATCATGTTTCATCCTCTTACTGATAAAGTATGTCAAAAGTCATTATGTAATATATTTATGTCAATATCTGACTTTTATGGTTTCAGTATGAAAAAGATATCTGGAGTAGTTTGTGTAATATTTTGTTTAATAATTATTTAATAACTATTTGTTTAATAACTATTTAATAACTATTTGTTTAATAACTATTTGTTTAATAACTATTTAATAACTATTTGTTTAATAACTATTTGTTTAATAACTATTTAATAACTATTTGTTTAATAACTATTTGTTTAATAACTGTTTAATAACTATTTGTTTAATAACTATTTGTTTAATAACTATTTAATAACTATTTGTTTAATAACTATTTTTTTAATAACTATTTAATAACTATTTGTTTAATAACTATTTAATAACTATTTGTTTAACAACTATTTGTTTAATAACTATTTGTTTAATAACTATTTAATAACTATTTGTTTAATAACTATTTGTTTAATAACTATTTGTTTAATAACTATTTGTTTAATAACTATTTAATAACTATTTGTTTAATAACTATTTGTTTAATAACTATTTAATAACTATTTGTTTAATAACTATTTAATAACTATTTAATAACTATTTGTTTAATAACTATTTAATAACTATTTGTTTAATAACTATTTAATAACTATTTGTTTAATAACTATTTGTTTAATAACTATTTAATAACTATTTGTTTAATAACTATTTGTTTAATAACTATTTAATAACTATTTGTTTAATAACTATTTGTTTAATAACTGTTTAATAACTATTTGTTTAATAACTATTTGTTTAATAACTATTTAATAACTATTTGTTTAATAACTATTTTTTTAATAACTATTTAATAACTATTTGTTTAATAACTATTTAATAACTATTTGTTTAACAACTATTTGTTTAATAACTATTTGTTTAATAACTATTTAATAACTATTTGTTTAATAACTATTTGTTTAATAACTATTTAATAACTATTTGTTTAATAACTATTTAATAACTATTTGTTTAATAACTATAGTATTTTATATAATCCAAGATCATCAAAAGAACCAAAATAAAAACTTTTAAAATTGTCAAAGTAAATATAATTTTTATATTTTTTCATTTGTATTTAATTTTTATATTTGTATTTGTATTTAATCTAATGTTTTTTTTTTATGAACATAGTGTTTATTAGGTTAACTTTATTTTTTCCCCCCTTTTCAAAGTGTCCGTTCCTTCTAGACTCATTTTTTCTCAATGAATCTTTAAGATTTATTCAATTAAAAATAGTAGTTTTATAAGATTTTTAAACTGATTATTTTTAATTTGAGAAAACTTTTTTAAATTATGCATTTTATTTATTTTGTAGCGAAATTATCTTATTTAATTTGATGTTTATAAAACATTTACTTCACAGATTAAAATTATTTATTGCTAAGTAAGGCTATATAAACTTGTTTGTTACTAAAGTAATGATAAATCAGTGTTTCCCCATTCGAAAAGACTTATTGAGTATGTTTAATAATTATAAGACATAGAACACCTATATTCTTCAATGGCCCCCAGTTTATTGGAAATAGTGTCCGTTTTCACGGCCTGTAAGTATAAAGATGGCCATGCCTGTGGTCTATAAAAATTTCAACAAATTTTCTGGAAATTTTCAACCCTAATAATTTGCGGAACAAGTATCAGAACAAACAAACTATTAATTTGTTTGTTTCTTATTTCTTCTGTTACTTGTTCCGCAAAATATTATGGTTGAAAATTTCCGAAAATTTTCCGGAAATTTTCAACACTAAAAAATAAACGAAATGAATCTCAGCTATTCTGCCATAAATTAGCAAAAGGAAAATTGTTTAATAAAAAATGTAATTAAAAGTCTTAAAAAGTAAAAGGAAGTAAAATACGTTACGCTATATGTAAATGTCAAATATAATATTTAACGTACCATTAATGTGTTGCGCTTTATTTTAAAATGCGGTTATGTTTGTTTCAATGAAATGTTTATTTAAAACATGCTTCTTCTGATAAAATTCATAATTAATCCATTTCATGGAAAAACTGTAACATACTTTCTTTCGACAATTAATGGCAGTATTAAGGCAACGAACTGTTTGTGTTAGTTTTTTTTTAACAAAAAACGGTGGTTATTCTAAAATTGATGTTTATTTTGCAAAGTAAATTAAATGCAACATTTAATTTACTTTTCAAAATAAAATTTAATTTACTATTGATATTGTCGGAAGAAATGCAATATGTTAACTATTTTTATGTATTTTTGTAATAAATTAGTGCAACTAGTTCAGAATGTCATCTGACAATGGTCTGGACAAATTGCAACAAAGTCACAAAAAAGTCATAAAAATAGTTAATACTTGCTGCATTTTATCTTTTAATGTCTATCTTAGTTTGTATTAAATAACTGCCAATTTTTTAAGTTTATTGGAATACGTAAATTATACCCATAGCAAACAAACAGTGACGGATTGAGCATTTCTTGGTGTTTGAGCTAGCTAACTTCTAGTTATGGAACAAGCTCTAAACATTTTTATGTTAATACTTATGTCAAATAATGATGCTTGCAAAAAATTGCGATGATTGAAAGTTGGCAACAAAAACCCCTTAAACTTAATCACCCCCTCCTTCCTCCCACCTCAAACGTGAGGGACAGCAAATTAATAAAAGTTTTTTTTACTATTTTCAACTAGACTTATATTCATCGAAAAATTTTAAGTTTGATAATATTATCTCTCAGCGTTTAAAAATTATAATCATATAAAGTTTAAACCCCCTCAATTTGAGGGGGTTACAAATTGCACGTTTAGGGTGGGAGGGATAAAGTATAAAGACTTTTTCGTTCCCAGCCTCCAATCATTGCAATTTTTCGCAAAGTATCATTATTTGACATAAGTATAAACATAAAGTTGTTTGGAATCCCATGTCCTAAAGTTAGCTTTTTAGTGTTTAATCTTAAACACTTAAAAATGCTGGATCCTTCAGTGCAAACAAATAGATTCAAATAAAATTATTGGTCTAGTAGCATTTAGATTTAAAATGACTTTTCTTATAAATCCTTTATTCAAATTACATATTTTTAATCATTTAATTAGTCCTGGTTAACTCATTTGCATTTGCTGTTTTACAAATGGCAGGTAGAGTCATAGCAAGATCCTTTCATAAGAAGAAAAGAAAACAAACAGGTTAAATATAAAAATTTTATTCTTGCATATATAAGATATTCACAGTAAGTGCTTTAGCGAAAATATCAAGGAAACTAATTTAAAATAAATATAATTTGACTTTTTTTTATAAATAAGAAAAAGTGTGTCAACGCGCAAGGTATAAAAAAAAAAAACATTTCTTTATAATAAGCTCCAATGAAAACATTACATCGTAAAAATAAAAGATTGAAGTTATCGTTAAAAAAACCTTTTACTAAGTAATATGTATTATATTTCTTAAAATAAATTTGGCTCAGCCAAACCTAACTGACGCATAATGTTGTGTGTTTAATAACTTTTCGGTGTTGAATAAAAAGAATTGGTGTGAAACTAAAACGGTTCTTAAAAATATTAACGTTATCATATCTTTATCTCTTTTTACCAAAAGCTCCACAACAACCTCTTGGACACGAAGGTATGCATTGCTGCTGGCATGAAGGTGCACATCCACCCATTACCATCATTGGTTGTGGCATTTGCATAGCAGTTTGAGGTTGAGATTGCATACAACATGTTTGTGGACATCCAATCTGACATGTTTGTGGCTGGCATTGTGGTGGGCATTGCGATTGCTGTTGAGGTTGTTGTTGTTGTATAGAGTAAATTTGAGGTGGAAGGAGTTTTACTTTAAACTGCATTTGTTCTTCTTGCTGTCCACCACAGCCAGCTTGCATTTGTCCGCCACAACCTGGCATGATAGGAGCCATCATTGGCATTATTTGCTGCCCACAACCTTGCATTTGACCACCACAGCCAGACATCATTGGTGGCATTTGTTGTCCACAACCTTGCATTTGACCACCACACCCAGACATCATTGGAGGCATTTGTTGTCCACAACCTTGCATTTGCCCGACACAACCTGGCATCATCAGTGGCAATTGCTGCCCACAACCTTGCATTTGTCCGACACATCCTGACATCATTGGTGGCGATTGTTGCCCACAACCTTGCATTTGTCCACCACACCCAGACATCATTGGTGGCATTTGCTGTCCACAACCTTGCATTTGTCCACCACAACCTGGCGTCATTGATACCATTGGAGCACGAAGCTGCTGACCACAACCAATTGAGTTAGGTGCGCAGGGCGCTTTTAATGAACTTTGAAATGTTTGTGTGCCGCAACCCACCATTTGTCCAAAACATCCACCGACCATTTGCGGCATTTGTTGTCCACAACCTTGCATTTGTCCTCCGCAACCACCCATTAATGGCGGCATTTGTTGCCCACACCCTTGCATTTGTGCTCCACAACCTGGCATCATTATAGGCATTTGTTGTCCGCATCCTTGCATTTGTCCTCCACACCCCATTGACATTTGAGGCATTTGTTGTCCACAACCTTGCATTTGTCCACCGCAACCCCCCATCATATATTGTTGGTCACAACCCTGCATTTGATTACCACATCCACCCATCATTGGTGATAGAGAAGCTGGCATTTGAGGCATACTATTCATGCAACAGCTAGGAGAACATCCAGATGATGCACATGATTGAGAACATGGTGCTGGGCATCTCAATTGCTTAACTGCTTGTGGTACAGAGAATGTTGCTCCTCCCGGAAGTGCAGCTCCTAAAAAACAAAACAAAATAATAAAAATTTTAACACAACAGAGAGCTGTGAAATTATTCCATCAACAATAAGCAAGTCGATACAACATTCATATATAATGCACGGCTTCACACACTTACCATTTGAGCCCGGGATTTTTCCGGACATCTGTTGTACAAGGGCATTGTGCATTTCAAGCTCGGCACGTGCTAGTTTTCCTAGAGATTTATGGAGAATTTTAAAGCTTTTTTTTTTCTTTTCTAATTAGAAATTTAAAAAAAAAAATTGAGTAAGAAGTGAAAGTTTTATTACTTGAGAAAAATTTATTTGTTAATTTTAAATTCATCAGAACATGCTTTGAAAATATTTTTATTAAATACTATTTTATAAATTTGCTAAATGTGATGTAGATAAAAGCTTTATGAAGAAAAAAAGAATTTTATTTTTCAAAAGAAATGAATATAAAGTTGTGTGTTTTATGTGTGCTTTTTTTGCATTTGCTTGTGCATGCTTGTGTGTGCCGTGTGTTATACAAGAACACTATTGTACCAACTTACCCAGGCTGTCTCGAATAACTTCTCGCAAATTACCAGCAGCTGCTATAGCTAAAGGGTTGTTGCTTATGTCCAAACCTTAAAGAAACTGTAGTGATAAAAAATCAGCTTCGTCTTTTTTCTAAGGAAAATTATAAAAGATGCTTTAATTAAACTTGTACAAAATCGTAGTTGCCATAGGAACAACTATAGTATAGAAAAAATAAATCTTTAATTTGAATCAGTCGCAAAAATTGTTCAGCGGGTTTTTAAAAAGTAATTAATTTTGTAAATTTTGTCAATATCGAATTGGTTCAAATTATTTAAACTTTTTTTATATCTAAAGTGCTAACTTTGGTAAAGTTTTATTTTTTCTCTTTGTACGTACTTCTTTAATTCTATTTTAAATTTAACCCGGGGATCTGTCTGTATTTATTTAGCATATAATTTTTTTTGTTGGTTGGACAGCAAAAAATTGAAAATTTTACACAAGATAAAAAAACTTACAATAAAAGTAATTAGGCAGTTTTAGTACAGTAAACCTTTTTGTAAAAATTAATTTAAAATGTTATAAAGAAGTATAAAAGTGAAATCAATTATTACAGAAGCTTAAAAAATTCTAGAAATATTTCCTCTACTGTTTAACGAGCCTTTAAAAATAAATTTATAAACAGTGATTTTGTGAAGGTATTTTTTACTGTTAAAAATTTAATTTTATCCATCCAAATAATAAAAAACTTTTTTTATGTAGTTAAAATTTTAGCTGATAAACAATGAACAACATATGAATAAAGCAGTTGAAATTAAAACTTGATTTACTATCAGAAACAAATTTACATATTTAAACTGCAATATCAACAGCAGCTATTTACTATACATAACTAATGATTTTATAAATAAATAATGCAGCTAAATAGTTATAGAAACTTATGCTATTGCGATCTAAAAAAACTCCTGACTACTGAAATATTTTACACCGCCTTTGAAATATGTATAACTTTATTTATATCATTAATATCGTTTAAATTTGTTTAATTCAACTTCTCATTTTTTATTGAAACAAAAAAAGTAGAGGAAACATTTGTTATATTAATAAATGACAAAACAATTTATATCCCAACTCATTTTGACGAATTAGGATGCTAATTTTAAATAAAAAACCAGTGACGTCACAATAGCGTCACAAGCTTCTGTAATGTTTGACAACTCACTTTTTGCAATTGTCGTCTTCTCAGTGTCTGTGGATGTAGTATGATCAGTATCTTAAAAAAAATTGAATTAAAAAAAAATACTAATGTATATAACTACTTTGTGATTGATGAAATAAAAATTTATGTTAAACTTTTTCTAAAAAACTTGGTCAGATAACATTATTCCACAACTTCTGCAATATTCATCCTAACCGATAGATTTTTTTTAATTTTCTGATTTTTTATATTTAAAAAAAATTAAAGGAAGACATATAAAATTGTTTAAGATTACCTGATCTTGCCTCAAGCGTTTCTGATCGTTGAGTTCCGGAACCTTCTGATTCATCTCCAGTTTCAGTAGATTCTTCAGTTGATTTGAGAGCTAACAAAAAGTTAAAATAACAGTTTTCAAGATAAGAATTATTTATATATTGTTAAATCTAATTTCAACGCAAAGTCTACTTTTCTTTTTTTCTTCGTTCCCTTTTTTATCCTCCACTTTTGCAATTTCAATATCTTTAGTTATTTTTTTTTCTTCGTGTTTTTCTTTTTGATGCTCTTTCGTTTTATGATCTAAAAAAAATGTCATAATTTATGATCGAAGTAAAATTTCATATATTTTTTATTTTGGTATTAATAATTGGGTAAGGAAAAAATTTGTATTATAAGAACTGTTTATTTCAAATTGATCAACGTGAAATCAGTTGTCTAACCTTTTTTTTCGGACTTTGACTCAACCTCATATCTATGCAATATCAAGCAAACCAGTAATAGAAGTAGTAATCGAGACATACTATTTTATGTAAAAAAAAAAGCATAAATTTATTTAAATTAAAATCTCAGAAAAAGATTTTTTTAAAATTAATTTTTTACTACTTCAAAGATTTTACTAATTATAAATGTAAATAATACTTAAATAAACAAATAATTATTAATAATAAATAAACTCAATTATTGCACATTATTTTATATATATAAAAAAAAAAAACTTACTTCAATTATTATACTCGATATTTATGCAAAGCGTTAAAGTATTTTCTTTTTTTCACTGAGTCCTTTTCCAAGTCTTCAAGTGTCGTGATCACACAACGGGTGTTTTTGTTCGTGATCAACCATGCAAAAAAGTTTTGTTTGTTCGATCGTTCGAACCAAAGTTAATACGCACCACGCTGCGCTGAGAAGCACATTTATAAGATAATTAAATATCTGTGCAGAAGAATAAAAATATTTTATTTCATATAATGAAATAAAAGGGGGTAATATCTAGATATACAAGACTTCGCCATTTTATAAGATTTTTAAAATTGAAATCTTACTTTTTACTTTTCTATTTTGTTTAACTTTTATAACGTTTTATGAAACTTTTTATTAACCAGCTAACGATTTTATCTCGATGTCTAGGTATTTAGGATAGTTTCTGCACAAAAATATCATTGAATGACTTCACGTTTCTTCATTTCACTTCAGGTCTTCAAATTTTTTTTGAACAAATTGGAGATATATTTAAATATTTTAATTTAAGGTAGTTTGAGTAAATAGCGTTATTACGAGTAATACTTAAGAAATACTACTTAAAAAAGTTATACTTAAATAGTATTTCTCCTCTTTCATGGAATAAAATGTTTTTTATTAACTTTTTTTTATATTTCTTTTTAATGAAAAATTACAATTTTGGAAAGCTTTTAAATAATAAAAAATAATATTTTAAGTTGTTTTACAGAAAAATATACAGATATATAGATATGCAAATTGTTTTAATAAAAAGGAGCTAAATATTTTTTCCCTGCATATTAAATCAAATATATGACGTAATGCACTGTTGTTTTGCAAACTGATTTTAAAAAAGTGTCCCGATTATGGAAATAACGTCCTACCTAATATTCTAAACGTAAAAACCTGTACATTCTCTTACAAATTTAGGCATAAGCATCTTAGGCTGCATCTTATAGAATTATGTGGCCCGCCTATGAAAGTTACGAGGCCATAAGGGAAAAGAAAGAAAATGAAAAGAAAGAAAAAGAACAAAAGAAAAAAGTAAACTCATTTAAAGCTTAAGTTTTTTTATGATATTTATTTTTTTTATTTTATGGCTTTCCCTAGGAATTGGCCTCCAAATAGGGTTTAACGCTTACGTATACTAATGTTCGGTATTACAAATACTTTTCTTGCGTAATATACGTGATTGAATATTTACTGCGATTTATACGTTTTAACATAAAGGCGGAAATATTTATACGAGTATATTAACTTATTGAAACTTTATTGATTAATTTTTTTAATACTTTATAAAAATAAATATATTTTATAGGGGAGAGTGGTGCACCATGATACATGGGGCACCGTGAAAGATTGAACTGTCGAGGCACCTTAAGAGTTGTAATAACCATTTTCGTATGGCAAAACAGTTATTACTATAGCTATGTTTTCACAAAAAATATTATATCACTAGATATCATTAGACTTGCAAGGGATCGAATTTTGTGTTTTTTTGATAACAATGTAGGGGAGATGGGGGCGCATTGATCGCCGGTGCAGTTTGATCTTTTAGCTTTTACTCGTTTACTTTTGCCTTAATTTAACAGAGATTGCAATTAAATTAACCATTATACTATCCTTCAATGTTTAATCGTAATAATTTTTGATAAGATCAACTTCAGCTTTAAAAAATTTAAAATAAAGTTTTCCATCATGAAAAGTGATTTTTGAAAGTTGTAAACAAATTCAAATAAATTTTTAATTAGATTTCCGTATGACTTTACAACTAATTGATTGTAAACTCATATGTGTTAAGTTTATAATAAATTTTTTTTTTTGAGTTGGTTACTGTATTTATAAAAGTTATTGGCATCAATATATCAACTGTACCTGATGGGGCACATTGATCGTTGACTATGCGGGGCTCATTGATCGGAGGATCAAAGTGTCCCATATAACTTATATTATAAGACTTAAATTTTTTGTTTAAATTTTATACATTTAAACTTATAACGAATAAAAAATGTTTATATAAATTTTAAATTTCATTTTTAAAATGTAATAGTGTTATAAACTAATATTAATAACATTAGTTTTTAGTTTTACATAAGTTTTATAATTAGTTTACATAATATTATTATATAAAATATTTTTTTTAAACAATCGTTTTATTTTACTATTTTTAAAATTTTCAGATCTATAAATAGTTAGGTATAGAAAAAAAAAAGAAAACAGAGTTGCTATATCATTTAATACAATGAAAGTAGCTGTTAATGAAGTTTTATAGGGCAGACCAGTGAATGTTGTAGCTCGCAAGTTTAGCATAAATCTAATGACTTTAAAAAAATGTTGTAATAAAAAGAAGCTCAATCCAAATAAATCTTTCAAACCTAATTACAACAATAAACAAGTTTTTACTACAGAAGATGAAAAAAGTTTGTCAAGTTATTTACTACTTAAGTAATTTACTACAAAAATGAACTATGGACTTTTAACTAAGTCAACACGATTATTGACATACAAGTTTGCTGTAAAAAATAATAAGATCTGCCCTTCAACATGGATCAAGAATAAAATTGCAGGGATTGATTGGTTGCAAGTTTTTATGAAAAGACAACCAGCATTGTCTTTACGAACACCTGAAACAACTAGCTTTGCTCGATCAACTGCCTTTAACCGACACACTGTTGAAGAATTTTTCCAAAATCTAAAAACAGTAAGAAATCGATATAAGTTTGATCCTTATTGCATATGTAATGTTGATGAAACTGGTTTAACAATGGTACAAAAGCCAGTAAAAGTGTTAGAAGTTAAAGGAAGTAAACAAGTAGGAAGAATCACATCTGCAGAATGAGGAAAACTAGTAACTGTATGTTGTGCTTCAAATGCAATTGGAAACTCTATTCCTGCACTATTTTTTTTTTCCAAGGTTCAAACTTCATGATTACATGATAAAGGAAGGTCCTCCTGGATGAGTGGGATTTGCAAATCCTTTTGGTTGGATAAATTCAGACATTTTTATAGAATGGATAAAACATTTTGTGAGGTATTCAAACTGTTCTCATGAATCTCCAGTTTTTTTACTTCTGGACAGCCATAAAAGTCATATTTATGTTAGAGCTTTGGATCTTGCAATTCAACATGGAATTACAATGTTAATTTTTCCTCTCCATTGTACCCATAAATTGCAACTATTGGATAGAACTGTTTTTGGACCATTAAAAAAGGTTTTACAATCTGCGTGTGATAATTGGATGGTCACAAATTCAAGACCTATGACCATTTATGATATTGTTTCAATAGTTTGCGAATCATATAGAAAGGCTTTCTCACAATCTAATATACAGAGAGGATTTCAAGTAGCTGGCATTGAGCCATTTAATCCAGAAAATTAAAAGAATGATGAATATTTATCATCATCAGTTACAGATCGTACTGCTCCAAATGTAGTAAACACAACTCTTGCGGTACCTGAAATGACTGTAGCACATGTTGATGGCATGGAGCCTGAAATGCCTGTAGTACATCATGAAATAAGTTTTTCGAACAAAGTGTCACCAAGCATTGCTTCATTATTCTCACATGAAGTTTTGAAAGCTTACCGGAAAGCATCTGCTAGAAAAAGAAGTAGGCAATTAAAAACAAGGATTTTGACTGATACTCCAATCAGAAATGAAATTCGTTTTTCAGAAGAAAAGAAAACCCTAAAACAAATTAACCAACAAAAGAAACTCATCGCAAAAGATAAAAAAAGGGGATAAGTTAAAAACTACTTGCTTAGGAACAAAAAACAATGTAATGTAAAAGCAGCATCACGACTTGACTTGAACAAAGGATGATAATATAAAAAAATAATCTTGCAAACTTTAGTTCTAATAAAAGTCTTGTATGAATCTTGTATTTTCTTTGTAAACTTAAAACACTGTATTTTTATAGACTTTATAAGCTTCAAATTTTGTAAAACTTAACACATATATATGTTATTAGTATATAACATACACTGGTATGTATTAGGTTGTAATGACATGTATATACATATATATATATATATATATATATATATATATATATATATATATATATATATATATATATATTTTAAAATTTTTTTTTCTTAAATGTATTATATAGTATACACTAATACCCTTCAACTAATGCATTTGTAGCACTTAGGTATAGCAGTATTAAAAATGTAAGTAATTAAATTCATATAAGATCAAAGCGCCCCATATCGGAGATCATAGTACCCCATTGCATGGTGTACATTGATCTTTTGCAAGGGTTGTTGTAATGTTGAAATATACCATGTTCATCAATTTTTTTTATTAAAACATTTATTTTTACTTAAAGACAGATTGTTCTAGTTTAGTTTAGTAATTAATAAGTTTTTATATCTAGATCGGGTTGTTCGTAGTTTTCAAAATATTGTAACAGCGATCAATACGCCCCCATCTCCCCTAATTGATTAGTTTTTCAAGTTATGTTATTTGATGCGTCTATCGGTAAGTGCTAATATTTTATAATCTACAATCCATAAGCTTATTACTCCATTAAACAAAACTATTGGAAAAAAATTTTAATGTTAAAAAAAAGTGATCGGGTTCTATTAGCAAGTATGGAGTAACTTGTAGGGAGCCCCAAGACTGTATAACAGTACTCCATTATTTCATAAACACATTTGAAAATCAATTATTTCAATATTTAAAGTCAAATTTTTAAGAGATTTATATAAATATAATACTAGAAAATCCAATTTCACTACAAAGCCATTATTTATTAACGCTAAAAAATGACATTTAAAAAGATACAATGGAGAAAATAGAATCAGCCTCACCATGTTCTAATCGAATATTTTGTAAATCAGTTAGCAAATTTGTGCGGTACATATTCGGTATCCACACATATATAAATACTGTTACAAACAGCAACTTTTTAGATTATAATATAGCTTAGGTAATTGTGTATATTATAATGCAGCTTATGTAACAAATTTGTAAATAATAAATATAGTAGTAAATAATAATATAGCTTAGTAAAGTAGTAGTATTGTAGTAATAATGTAGTAAATAATAATATAACTTGTGTAGTAATGATGTATAATAAATAATTATTAAATTGTGGTACATTTGATAAAACTATAAAATGTATAATACTTGATA